ATTTGTCGACCGAATTTCGCGAAACTAAATCCGTAGGAATGCTCCCTGCTGCTAAATACCTCGGTATCTGAGGTTAATTTGAATTTGGACTACGTTTGACTGTGTAATCGAGCGATAATTTATCAAAAAGTCTCTCCCTCTCTGTTTTCTCTCGCGTTCTCTAGAATTTATAATGTTTCTAATGAAAATAAACCGAAGTGGAGGCTTTATATACTTGTGCCTGGAACGGACCAACGTGTCACGGAGCCAACGCGGAGGCCCTCCCTCCGTGACACGTTGCCATCGCGGAGGGGCTTATATATAATTTGGACCTATAAGTCGCATGCGATTTATAAGTCGCATTCCTGGAATGCGATTTATAAGTCACATTCCTGGAATGCGATTTATAAGTCGCATTCTTGGAATGCGATTTATAAGCCACATTTTGCTGTCCGATCTTTTTCCGGGCCTTTTTCTAGTATGTATGGGATTCTAAAACTCTTAACCAACATGCGAATAGACCATCTGTGTGTCGGCAATTTTACGTTGTGTAACATAAGAGCTGTGATATATAAATTTTTTGTTATGTCAATATTTTTTTATTTAAATGATCACGTGAAAAATGATTTGAGTGTCTAAATGGGAAAAGAAAAAATTTAGGTATCTCAAAGAAATCTTTTAACAAGTTTAAGTGATCCTATATATATTTGACCCACAATTTATTAACACCGTCATATAAAAAGGGATAATGGCACAAATATACACTCTATAATATCACATTGCATTAACATAGCCAAGTTTTTAAGTTTTCAGTCGCATAACCCACTATTTTCTCAAAGAAGTGGTTAAAAGATTTGGTATACAATATTATACAAAATTTTAAGAAGTACTTATACACTCATATTCACTATTATACAATATTATACAAAAAACTAATTTTATCTTCTTCCTTTAATTCAAGCACTAGATCCATCCAAAACACCTCAAAAACTACACCAAATCGCCCTAAATTTCATATCTAAGCTCCTCAATACGTACCCGATCTTTGAAAATAATACTCATTTGAAACAACTTATTTATGAAAACTCAATTTTCAAACTTTGAAGTTTCGAGCTTCAACAATGGCTACCTATGGAGTTTCTGCTTATAACAATACCAACGGAAAAGAAAGCGAAGGAAAAAAAGAGAATGGAGGAAGAGATATTGTGTTTTTGGGTTAAGAGATGAAAAATAAGTTTAAATTTACATAGAAATTGAGCTAAATTAGGTAAGAAGTTAAAACATAAGCTAAATTTGATAACATTACT